TTCTCTCCTCCCATTTCCACAACCTGAGTAGATTCAATCCTTCATTTATTAAATCAACAAGCATTTACTGACTATGTACTCTTTGCCAAGCCTGGTGTATATTAAGCACTCAAACGTGTGTGAACAAACAAATGCAGATACAGCAATGAGTTAAAAGAAGGTCCCTGCTTTCACTTGAGTAAGAATTCTCACAAGAATATAGGTAGCATGGTTCTATAACATACTTAGCACTTTTTAACATTGTTATTTAGCAACATGTCTCCCATGATGCACTGTGAATTCCTTAAGGACTTCATCTTTTTCATGTATATGTCCTTAGTACCTAGCACAGTGTTTTTCATCTGTCCAAAAAGTGAAGGTTATTTATTTCACATTTAGTTTTATAAGCTCCAGAATAGTTAAGTAAATATTTCCTGAAGTAAGTAAATTGTAGCCTCTTTTCAAGTTTAGATTAAAAAAGAAACAAGGAAATACTACATAGTTCTTTGGTGATAATAAAAAATGACTAATGTTAAACCAGCATAACTTAACAAGAGTGAATCAAAATTTTAGTTAGCATTTTTAAAAGAAATCAAACATAACTGTGAAGTCAAACACAACTTCCTACTCTTTAAAAAAACCTAATGACACAGCAAGTAAGAGATTTAGATGTATGAGATCTCAAAGATACACAAATGTCAAGTCACGTTAACTTTACAGGTTTCCTGGCGCTGTCCTTTGAATGAGTCTTCATTCTTTGCTGAGGTGCTTTCCTGCTTTCCTGAGCAGCATTATTTTAATGTGAATTTTATTTAACATTTTAATGCAGATTAAATTATCAGTGAACTGCATCTCCAAAACCTCTGGGTAGAATCGGCTGATTGAAATATTGGTATTAGTCAGTGAGAGGCAGAGTAAGGGGCTGCTATACAATTTTTGAAACTAGAGCAGGACTTAAACAGCTTCTCCAGCTAAAGCAATTCTTCCAAAGGGGAAAGTTTTCATCTGATCCTATTTTAAAACTTCAACAACAGGGCCACCATGACTTTGCCCTTCAAAGAGCTTCAATAAAGCTAGCTGCTACAACTGTGGGAAGAAAAGCCTGGACTCACATCTAAGAAGACAGCAATCTAAATGTCAACTGTTCGTGGGTGGAGAAGGGGGAGGGGGTCGGTGAAGAGTTAGCTTTATTTCACAGAACCAACATAACATCAGTTTTGGGTTTTTCCCCTCTAGTTCTCCTGAAAGACAGCTTGCCAATTCCTTCAAATGTGTGAAATCCAAACTTTACTTTCTTGTTGGTTGCAGTATTTGGGTTCTAAATAAAGAGGAACAAATCAATGTTTGGCCATCACTCAAAAGAATTCCATATATTAGGGTTAAGAATGGCAACCACGGAGCCCAGCACTCACAGCAGAACAATGCTAATGTTCTTAGGGTGACTCTCACTTGAGTCATGGGTTCTGAGGATGTCTGCTTCCCCAGATGCCACTTCCCCCATCAAGGGACTAAGGGACAATATAGGCTTGAAGTCATGTTCTCCAATACATGTTTTCCAGGATGGTGGGATGCAGAATCTGAAACCCAGGCTGTATACATGGAATGAGGAGGCAGAAAGAACTTTATACCCTCTAATCATTAACTATACATGCAACAATACTACTTCCTTAGTAATTATTTTCTAATGTTTAATTGTGGTAAAATATACATGACATAAAATTCACCATCTTAACTATTTAGAAGTATACAGTTCCAGAGTATAAGGTACATTCATTGCTGTACAACTAATCTCCAGAACTCTTTTCATCTTGCAAAACCGAAACTCCACACCCATTAAGAAGCTCTCCATTCCTCCCTCTGTTCAGTCCCTGGTAACCACCCTGCTGTCTTCTGTCTCTGGATTTAACTACTCCAGATACCTCATACAAGTAGAATCATACAGTATTTGTCTTTTTGTGACTGGCTTATTTCACTTAGCATAATGTCTCCAAGGTTTATCTATGTTGTATTATGCGTCATAATTTCCTTCCTTTTTAAGGCTGAGTAACACTCTGTTGTATATATAGAACACATTTTTGTTTATGCATTCATCTATTGATGTACATTTGGGTTACTTCCACCTTTTGGCTGTTATGAATAATGCTGCTATGGACATGGATGTACAAAAATCTCTTTGCGATCCTGCTTTCAATCCTTTTGGATAAAGACCCAGAAGTGTGGACTGCCAAATCATATAGTGATTCTAATTTTAAATTTTTTGAGGAACAACCACACCATTTTCCAATGTGGCTGTACCATTTTACATTCCCAGAATATCCTTGCCAATATTTGTTATTATCCTTTTTTTTTTAAATGGTAGCCATCCAAATGGGTTTGAGGTGGTTCCTTCATAACTTTTACATTTTCCAAATTTTATATAATATCCCTGTAATATTTTAATAATTACAGGAAAATTCAGCAAAATACACTTAACCATTAAAAGTGATCATGCAAATACATACATATTAGTATAGAAAGACCTTTATCATACAGTCTAAAGTTTATTAATGTGAAGGCTACTGTAAGAGTTATAGTTATAAGACTGTATACTATCATCTATGTTTGGGGAAATACAAATACACATATTAATATGAATGTTTTATACAGACTCAGTGTAATGTGAAAAGGGATCTAAGACAATAAACCAGAATGTTAATAGTAACTATCTCCACAAAACAGGTATCTAAATGATCTTAATATTTTCGTGTTTATTTTCTGATCTTTACCTAACAAATATGCATGTCTTCTATAATAACGAGTAACAACAATAACGGGGGTAAACTGGTGAATAAGTTGAGAGTCACAGGTACCTAAGTTGCTCTAGGCAGCCATGCTGCTGTGGCCATGAACTACCACTGAAATGTCTGAGAATGCACAAGCCAGGACAGAATCCTCTGAATCAGCTATAACTATATTGTATAAATTCTACTCTTAGTCCCTAAGTGCTCTGAGGGCTCTATTTGGCCAGTATTATGATAGATGCTAAAATTCAGGAGGTGTGAGTATAGTAATTTGCCCCCTATACCCCACAACCCCAGAATCAGTAAAGACAAGACCTACAATGCCAATTTCTTAGGCTTAACCTGAAAACAAACAAAAAAAAAACAGTCAGGAAAAAGATATAATATATAAGGTACAAGGAACAAATGGGCTGAAGATATACTACTCCAACTAAACTATATTACATAATATTTTACAGTTACCGTTAAGAAATTTTTAATACTTTTCATATTTCTTGTGAAAACTCTCCTTTTTTATGGCTTATCGTGTGTGTGCATTTAATGAGTTTTTTTGAAAAATCCCTATCTTGCTTATCTCCCTGAACTAAGAGAATTAAAGACAATATGCCCAAATCTGGGCAAAGAGAAGTTAAGAAAGGAGTGCTTTAAGGAAAAGAGGCAAAAGCTGGGGCACAAAGCAAAATGCCAACCAACAATTCTTCCACTCACTAGAAACTCTGAAGCTTGTTCCTGAGCCATCCTTAAAATATACATCATTAACCCTCTCCACTCCATCCCCGGCCTTCAAATTGGGAAACTGTAACATTCCTGGAAACAACCCTTCAACATAGTGGCCCAACACGTTTTCAGTTCCTCCAAAAACCCTCAAACTCAGGAGCATAGCAGATGTCATTAATGATGGAATTACTTAAGACCTAACGTCTTTAATTCTGAAATTATTCCCCAACCACAAAGAATGACTTTCCTTCCACATCTCTTATTCCACCCAGTATGTGTGTCCTCATGGTGGCACCAGCCAGTACCTTGACATTCCTTTCTTAGTCTATCACCTGTGTTCTGGTTTCACTGCCTACCCATTCAGCCTGGATCCTGGATTAGTCACTGAAAAAATAGATTCATTACACATTGGCTTCCTTGTATTTTCTCTATTGGCATCTGGTCATAGGTTAGTCTCTCAAAGAAAGGACCAAGGGAAAGAAAAGGAGAGAACACAAACTGACCCTCTCCTTATACATTTTTAACAGTTCCCAACTGCCTGTCAAACTAAGAACCCATCACCTGAGTTCTGAATTTGAAGTTCTCCACTATGTAGTCCTATTTTACCCCACCAATGATTTCTCAGCTATATTCCAATGAGCACTAAAGCTGTGAAGTTAGAGAAGTGACATGGGTTTCTAGGAAAGCTAAAGTGAGAGTTAAATAGTCAGAACCCCAGGCTTCACCCAGACAGCCCCACTTTATCTAACAGTGGGAAGTCATTCAATCAGTCACACTGCATGCATAAGACAGTATTGTTCAGCCATTAAAAACAATATTCCCGATACAAGAAAATGTTCATGATGTTCATGGTGTTGAACACTATTTACAGCACTCTCCAAAGTCTTAAATAGAAAACAGACCTAGGAATAAAAATTATCTAGTGGGAAATAGCCCAGTGTAAACTCTGGTTACATGAGAATGAAAGATTTATGAGTGCCTCTTAAATTTTCTTCTATTAATAATCATTCTGAAACACGTTTATGTAATCTTTTAAATTTTTAAAAATATTTTCTTTGAAAAAAAATTTGTTTTCTCATAAAAGACGGCTCCCCAAAGCCCTTGCTCTACCATGTCTACCCTTTCTAAAATCCAGAAAGTGACTGATCAAACCTTACCTTTGCTGGAGACTAACATCTGTTGGCCGCCAGTAAGGACAGAAACAAGCTAGGCTGCTCACCCTAGAGGTTTCTAATACAAGGAAACCAAAAGCAGGGGAGATGGGAGCAAACAAACACTATTCCTTCAGGCGAGATGCATTGTGTCTCTGTGTAGATCTTTTCTTCAATAATTCTCAAGTTATCCGCCACAAAGTCCTTGATGGTTAATCTTAGCAAATTGTCAGCCACTTATGAAAGGCAAAAATAAAGAAAATCTAAGCAAAGAGAACATGAATATCATCAACACTGAAAATTGACAAGCTTTTCACAAACATCAGAGATTTCCTTGCAGACAAGACCTTTCTGCTAAATCTTTAATACTCACCAGGTGCTTTGCCTTAGCACGTTCCTCCTCATTTGATATCCTCTCACGAAGAATAGCTCTGGTTAACTGCTCATTGGTTAAAGTCATCTCTCCGTCCAGTTCCTTGCCTTGCTTAAGTCTGAGAAGACAACAAACATCTAACTTAGAAAAAAATTTTTTAGTAGCTGACATTATTTTTTTATGAAATACTTAAATAAAAAAATAGAAACAGCCATAGAGTTAGTAGCTGAAATCATCTTGGCCTAAAATTGATCAAAAGTGGGTATATTTTCTAGTAAATTACCATGCAGCCTCTACCTAAGCATTTAAAAGGATAGAACTCAAATACATTAAAAAGCTAATCGATCTGACTGCTGAATTAGCTTTATAAAATTCTTATGTCAAATTGAAATCTGTCCACCTAAATATTCCATCCCTGGTGCTTCCATCTGCCCTCTGGAGACAGAAGTAATACATCTAATTAACAAGCCATTCACAAGGCAAATATTTGAAGGTAACCATCATCTTCCCATCAAAAGTAATTCAATTGTGTACTGAACATACACCACGTACTGTGTGAGGCATTGATGACACAGTGCTGAACAAGGACCAGTACCTGTCCTCATGGACCTGACATTTGTAGAAGGGAACTAAAAACACAATTAAGGTATCCTTCCTCCCAGTAAATGACTTCCTCATGCAAAAATGGCCAGACTTTTCAATAGCAGGACTCCTCACTTGTGGAATAACTCGAATTTGTCCCTTGGCTCTGAACTAAATCTAACACTGTAGACATGGTCCAACAAAATAAGACAGCAAGAACTTTATCTCCCAAGATTCGTGCACAGTGCTAATTCTAATGAAGCATCCGATTGCCTTAGGTCTATCAGTGACCTCATCACACAATTAGATCATACTGAGTTACAATCCACTGAAACACCCGCCCCTCACTGTGCATAACAAGGATAAATTACTTTGGCACAGATCTTCACCATAGTGCCTGGCACATAAAGGTATTCAGGAATCACTGGATGAGAGTTCATTTTAGTCTAATCTCATGGACAAAGATTTTGATTGCCTTTTCTTCTTTGAGCGAATAACCTCTCTATACCATCTTATCCCCAAAAGTATAAGCGATGCTTTAAGAATAAAAAGTAAAATTGTTACTGTTACGTTGGTATAAGTGAAATTCTGAGTGCAATCTACTTTACAAGTGGGAATGATGAGGACCAAATTGAACTCAATACTAATCTATCAAATTTCAGTTTTAAAAAAGATTCTTGAAAAGAATTAAAGAAAATAAAATCTTCGGTTACTATTTTTAAACTGCTACATCACCCTGATATTCTGAAATTCTCAGAAACCAATTATAACAGATAAAAACACCTTATAAAATATATTCCAAAGTTATAACACTTCCCGTACCCCCCTCAATTAAACCGATGTGGTTTTGTGTCTTGAATAAAGATGAATAATAGAAACAAAGGTACTTTTACCCAAATAAATCCTGGAGTTACAGGAAACGAAAGTAACAGCAAAAACGAAGTGGTCCACCTAAGGCTATTGTGCTGGTAACTGCTGAGGTTACTGTACTAGATTAGAAAACTAGGCAGTTAAAGCATTTTTACCAACCTGTCACTTGCAAGTAAAATACATAATCTACTTTACAAGTGAGGTAGAAACTAAGACAAAATAATAAAACTTACTATCGTTTATGGATCACTGACTATATGCCAAACACAGTGTTAGGCACTTTACATACATACATAAAACTATTATAAAACTTACATTATTAGTTTTTGAACATAAAATGAATTCTATACAACTAGACTCTCATAGTTTCCATATTTGGTGTATCAATTTTTTTCAATTTTTAAAGTATTGTTTATTTTAATAACTATATTTTTCTGAGTTAATTTACATGTGGCATAAATTTTAATTACAAATGGAGTTAAAAGTGGCTCAACTTTTAAGAAATATCATAAAGTTTTAGCAAATAAATGAAAAGGAGGCAAAAACATTAGCTCAAAAGCCTTCAGTGTTATAATAAAAATAAAGATTATTTAGTTTGCAATATTTGGTACAGATGCAAAAACTGTGGTATTGGACTCCTGGATCCAAACCAAGGCTCTACCACCTACTAGCTGAGTAGGTGATTCAGTTAGCCTCCCTGGGTCCTGTTATTCTCAGGAGTAAAACAGACTGTAATACCTACCTTACAGAGTTCTATATACACAAAGCATTTAGTGTAAAGTCTGTAATAATAATAAGGACTCAACACATTAGATAAGTAGCAGTAATAATAACAGTACCCACTATGGGATCAGGAATGCAGGGAAAGCAGTTATTTTCTGAAAAGAAGAAAATCTCCAAATTCACTACATATACCATGACTACATATAGCTCTGTCTTCTCCATCTTTTTTTTTCTTTCCAATTTTTCACCAATAAGAAGTTCTGCTTTATTTTTAGGATCTTTGAGGACTCCTAAAATGTCAGTTGACTATAACATTCTAGCAGCCCTACCCTTGCACATGTTCCTTTCTTTCCCACTTGCTTGTAAGCTCCATAAGGCAAGGACCTAGTCTGGTTTTTTTTTCACTGCTAAATCCCCAGTGCTTAAAACAGTGCCGGCCACACAGCAGGGGCTCAAAAAACACTTGTTGAATGTGCACATGAACAAATGAGTGGCCTATTTCCAACCACAAACAAAACGGGAAACAAGCTACAGAAAATAAAAGACTGAAGGATTTAAGAATCTGGAGACACAACCCGAACCCTACAAGTGCCGAGCCACCATAATGTCAAGGGTCACAAGTGTGATGATCCCAGACTACACTGCCCTAAAACATAGGGTGTTTTACATTCCACAACATTTCAGAGCCTCTGAAATATCAACACCTAGTTATGCTAGACTCTTGGCTAAAGAGAGATGGCACAAACTGACTAAAAAAAATTTTCCTTTCTTACTTTCTAACTTTCCTTTCTTACTTTCTAACTTTCCTTTCTTACAGTTACTTCCGTTTGTTCTTACAAGTAGACCTGCACAAATTCTAAAATAGTTTATTGTAAAAGAATGTCTGAAAATAAAATGAAAAAAAAAGAAAGAAAAGAAAGGTCTGTTGACTGTTTATGAAACAGAATTCTGTATTTTTAGGTAGTCTGGCAGTAGGAACCAGAACAAATTCTCATTACTTACCAGCAACTTACTTGAACAATCTAACAAACCTGTTTTCTCAGCTTTAAAATCTGAAGGTTGAACTTTATAGTCTTAAGGTCCCTTGCAGTTAAAAGTCCTACAAACATCATACATTAAATATATTATTCCCCATTCCAAAAACTTCTTGAGAAGGGTGCTGGCAGGGGATAAATGAAACAAAGAACTATTATCTCCAAATTTTATCATTTTCACTCATTGAACAAATATTTCTAGCCTCATTCTCAGAGTTTCCAACTACTTGATAAAAACCATACACTAGGAAAAAGTAAACAGGATGCAAAAAATTCATCCAATATGTAATTACTGGTGATAGGTACTAACTATTCTGATTACTGAGAATATAACAGTGAGCAAGAGATACAGTCCTTACCCTCATGAAGCTTCAACTCTGCTACTTCCTTTTTTTTTTTTAAGTGAGTTTGCTATAAAACTATATTGGGTGGGAGCTGATATTTGAATTGAAATCTAAAGGACATAAAATGAGCACTATTAGGAAAGAAAAAGTATCTTCAAGGAAACATTAGTCAGGTCCAGAGGCAGTGAGAAATTATTTTCTTCAGTTAAACTTTTGTGCTGCCTTTTCATATACCAAACACTGGAAGATCTAGAGTCACCAAGAGCTCCCTTAAAACCAAACACACAAACATACACACAGAGTTATCAATACAAGTTGGTACAAGGCTTTGGAAGGATCCCTGAAGCTTAAATCGTTTTTGCAATGTTAGAAAAAATTTAGAAAATTTTAGAAGTTTTGCTCTCTCTCAAACTATTTTGGAGGGCAGAGTTCCAGAAAAATGGTGTAACAAGGGCTTTCGTTTAGTCCAATGCATTTAGACATAAAAGCAAAAGACTAGAAATTTCCAATTGTACTGCTCCTCATTTCCCCACCTCTCCCCTCCACATAATGCATTTATAGCAATATTTGCTTCAAATAAGCTGTTTCTTTTACCAATTCATTTAGATCATTTAACGAACTACAACTACTTTGCACAGAAAAACTGCTTGTAATCTTGAAGCTCCGAATTCTTTTCAGAACTTCCTCTCGGTGCTATTGCTTTTATATTCCGTCAGGCTTTCTGTTCCATGACCATCTAGAAAAGATAGGTGTCTGTGCGATCAACCAACTTTTCTCTTATTTTGAGCCCAATGCGATGATCTTGCTTTCTGGGCCTCCCTGAATGCTCCTAGCCTCCCTGAGTGTAGAGCCAAAGCCAGGTTGTTTTGTAAACATTCCTCAAGAGAAAGAAGGGTGAGTCCTCATTGACATGGGAAGACAGGGCTTTACTTTTAAGGTCCCTATTATGGGGGAGGGGGGAGGCAAGAGATGTAAAACATACGTCTTTCATTATTAACTTAGGTTTCCAAAGATTTAAGAATTATCTCAAAATAAAACTAAACATACCAAGTATCTTGGAGAATACTTTCTCTTTTTTATTTATTGGCATTTCTCACTTACTATATCAGATCTCCTGATCTAATATTATTCTACATTAAGCCCCTGATTTTAGTTTCATTTAAATTTCCTTCTTTTAAATACATATCTCTCCTCATTTAAATTCTCTGGAGTTTTAAGCAAAGACGTAGGAGTTTAGTGTAAACTTTTCTTATTTGCATTAAGTAATTGGATAGCTTGCCTAAGCTTAATGAAACAAATACCAGTCAGCTCTGCCCTTATACCTCAAGCCCCAGCAACTTAGCTCTTGTTCTCAATCACGTAACAGATTTAAGATACACCAGCAAAATGAATTTCTGAACACCAGTTCAATCTCCTATTATGAATACTATTATAACATGCCCTTTAAAAGGAAAAAAAATAAACTTCGCATATATATTCAGTTCTTATCGATATGTTATATAAAATCTAATATTTCAATTTCTGAGTAAAAATCAGCCAGTATTATTTTATTCCCAAAAACCTAA